CATGATGAAGCCCCGCCCCCTGCTTCCGGCCACCCCGCTTCCGGCCCTCATTCAGCCAGGAGGAGGCAGGAGAAGAGGGAGGGTAAGTTGCTTCCTCCCTGCCTCTCCCCACCCCTGCCTGCCTGGGGCCAGGGAGGGTCTTCGCGGGCCTTGCAGGTCCACTGCCGGGCCCCTCATGGGGCTTGGCAGTGGAGCTGCAAGGCCAGCGGTGGCAGCCACGACCGTTGGGGGCGGGGTGTGTGGCCTTATGACACATTTCCGGTGATGTCAGGGGGTGTGGCCTTATGACACACTTCCGGTGATATCAGGGGGTGTGGCATATGCTAATGAGTTATGCTAATGAGTTCCCCTAGCTCTTTTTCTACGAAATGACTTCTGGAGACACCCAATCAATAGTTAATGGCATGCGGCTGAGTTCTTGCTTGAAAATCACTTTGTACTCCAATGTGCTCAAATTACAAATTCTCCTCTTCCACAGCTGATGTCACATGAATGATAATCACACATTCAGACAGGCAGCAAGAGAAGCTGGAAGGCCACTTGCAGGGCAATCCTAACACGAGTGAACTCTAAGTCCATTTAAATCAACGGGCTTAGAAGGTTTAAGTCCGCTTAGGATTGTACTGCTGAGCCTCCTGCACGACCGTAACAAATTTTTATAAGGAGGAAATGTTTTCCAATTTGGTTATGCTAATTTAGGCAGGAAGTATTTCTTACAGCCCGTGCAGAAGGAATAGTCCTGCATGTCCCTCTCCATAACATTTAGTGATGCCAAATGCATGGTGGGAACTTTTCCAAAGTGCAAGATTCTCCTGTTCAATTCTTAGCTTGTTAGTCGCAGGTATCTGGAGTCTCTCAGCATAATGATGTTCAGGCTACGCAGTTTGCCTTATGAAATGTTATGGAGGAGGAGATGGTTGCCATTGAGGGCAGTGACGCTAACAGTGACAGCCAAGCAAGTACATAATTTTACAAAATTATGCATGGTAAAAAGAAGATAGAGAAAGAAGTACTTTTTCCCCTTTTCTCACAATACAAGAACTCATGGGCACTCAATTAAATTAATGAGCAGTAGGCTTAGAACAGATAAAATGAAGTAATTAACATGTGGAATTCACTGCTGCAGGAAGTGAGGCAGCTACAAGCATAGGCAGGTTCAAGAGGGGACTGGATACACATATGGAGCAGAGGTCCATCAATGGCTATTGGCCACAAGGGATAGATGGACCACTTTGTATGGGGCAGTGATGCTCTGTATTCTTGGTTCCTGGAGGGCAACAGTGGGAGGGCTTCTGGGCCCGCTGGTGGACCCCCTGATGATACCTGGGTTTTGGCCACTGTGTGACATAGAGTGTTGGATTGGATGGGCCACTGGTCTGATCCAACATGGGCTCTCATGTTCTTATGCACAGTGATGCTCTTGCATTATCAAGTGTCTACCATGCACCACCAATTATGGCTGGTCCCATCTACCATACTGTGACCTTTTTTATTTTGCTGCTCGGATTAGTTAAACTGATTCCAAGGGGGATGGATTACTTTAGTCTCTCTGTCTCTCTCTCTGTTTCTCTCTCTCTCTCTCTCTCTCTGAGCTTCTTCCCATACTCTGCATGCAAATCCTGCCCAGAGCCTCCCAGCCATTTCTCATTGGTTGTAGCCAAGTCAGTAGGCATAGACACTGGCACTTCTTGCTGAGGAAGACAAAAGGGAACAATCTGTACAATAGAAGTCCCATATTCTGAAGTGTCCATCAATACATATCCATTCACCAGATGATTTTGCCCAAGTACTTTTCAAGGCCAGTGTCAAATAGCGGAAGGGAGGGAGGGAGGGCAGATGCACATTTCCTGCAAAGGAAGTATATGCATTTTTAGTTTATTTTTTTGTAGCAGCATTTTCAATACCTCCTTTCTAACCACACTCACTCACTTCAGGCAGTCTCCCCCAGGACCAATACATGTGGGCTTCAGATCCAAGAGGCATTTCAGGATTTTTGATTTCCAGTTCAGAGTCACTTTTGGGGGCTGACTGACAACTTGAAGAAAGGCTTGAAATAAGGAGATAAAATAAAATAAAGATCCTTTTACTAACTGAAGTAGTAGAGAAGCCTATTGACCTAAGCATGGTAAAAGTCGCCATAATAAGCAAGGAATAAGCAAGCCATAATAAGCAAGGAAGGAAGGACACACATACTGGTGGTGCCAAGGGACACCCTGATCTTCATACAGCAAGCCAGTCAGGAAGAGAATCCAGCTCTGCCAGTCTTCTTAACGAGGCTTAGTATGCTGCAAAAAGGACATCTAGAGAGCAATCCTGTGCAGGTCTACTGAGAAGTAAGCCCCATTTCATTCAATGGGGCTTACTCTTGGACAGTTTTCTTTGGGTTGCAGCTCTAGACCTTGCTGATCTCAGATCTTGCATCATCCGTGACTGGGCTACACAGCACAGGGCTGACCTAACAACATTCAAGAAGCACCATGAAGTGCTCCCAGGAGAAGCTCTGTGCTTCTCCTCACAATAAACTGCCACCTCTAGATTGGCTGAAGCCTGAAGTGGTCAGGCTGAAAGACATTTTCCACCACCTTGTGTCACTCAGAACTAGGATTTGGGGGAAAGCCAAGAATCATCAGGTGAGAGGAAAAGGGTGCTCACCTATCCAAGCTTCCTTCCCAGGTAACTTTCCGGACCTGAAGATGATTAGGGGTAAAGACTGGATTTCCCACCGCAGGCCACACTAATTCAAAGACCTTGTGGTAGCCAGAATCCAAATGCCCTGAGATATTCTAATATTTTCTTTTGAAGAAAGCCATCTCATGTTATACAAGCCCCCTCTGTTTTCAAAAGCGATTTCCAATAAGGCATAGGTAGTTGGTGGGAGTAGATTAAGGGCAGACAAAAGGACATTGTTTTTTACACAATGAGAGACTCAATTGTGAAATTTGCTGCCAGAGGATGCAGCGATGGCCACAGGCATTTTGTTGTTCAGTCGCACAGTCGAGTCTGACTCTTCGCGACCCCATGGACCACATCGTGCCAGGCCACAGGCATAGATGGCTTAAAAGGGGGATTAGACATACTCATGGAGAATAGGTTTATCAGCGGCTACTAGTGATCGAAGATAAAGGGAACCTCCATATTCACAGGCAAGAAATCTCTGGATACCAGTGCCAGAAGGCAATATCAGGGGAGGGCCTCAGCTGCTATATCCTGCTGTTGGCCCTCCAGTGGAACTGTTTGGCCACTGGTCTGATCTCACAGGGCTCTTCTTCTGATCTTCTTTTGCTATTCAAGAAACAACCCCCCCCCCAAATAAAAATGCTTGGCCATGAAGAAGTCATTGCACAATCCCACAGTTCCTTAGGTCCTGGCCTAAGTCCTCCAGCTCCTGTTGCAAGTAGTCTTCATACAATGTTCTCTCATTTCCCAAATACTACCAAATTCTATGATTATTCTGCTTCTCCTAGCTCAAGATCACCCCTGCCCTTGATGCTCAGTGAGATTTATTTATTTAATATGTCACCTTTCTCTCCAGTGGGGACCCAAAGTGGCTTACATCATTCTCCTCTCCTCCATTTTATCCTCACAACAACCCTGTGAGGTAGGTTGGGCTGAGGTGAGACTGGCCCAAGGTCGCCCAGCAAGCTTCCATGGCGTGAGTGGGGATTCAAACCTGGGTTTTACCTCTGCGTGGGAGGCAGCTCTCCATCAGAAAAGGGATGGGCTTCCTTTGGTTGCAAAGTCTCAGCTTCTTCACTTTGAACATCAGTGAATGAGTAGTACATTGAACTGCAGATTTAAAAAAACAAACAAACCAAATAGTACATTGGCATTGTTAGCTGCATCAGATCTTAATGAAAAGCAGTGTCGATACGGTTCTCTATTTATACAGCAGGGCCATATTAGGAAGAATTCAGGCACCGAAATCCTCTACAAGTCCAGCCTTAACAGGTTCTCACTAGCTACATGCCAGGCCCCCTATGGAAAGTGAAGATCTCCTCAAGTCAACAGGGCAGAGAAGGAATACAGTCCTTCAGGTTATCTTTGGACAACAAGTGACCATCACATGTATGCATATGCAAGCAGGCAAATTCTTGCCCACAACTGCCACCCCCACCTTCTCTTCCAGCTGAGGAAAAGCTAGCAAAACAGAGGGAAGTCTGTGGATAAGTGGTAGAGCATCTGCTTTGCATGAAAGACAAAAAGATATTGGATTTACACCCCACCCTTCACTTGGCGTCTCAGAGCGGCTTACATTCTCCTTTCCCTTCCCCTCCCCACAACAGACACCCTGTGAGGTAGGTGGGGCTGAAAGAGCTCGTTTGTGGACTGCCCTTGAGAGAAGAGCTCTTAACTCTTCCGAGAACTGTGACTGACCCAAGATCACTCCAGCAGTTGGAGATGGAGGAGTGGGGGACCAAACCCAGTTATCCCAGATTAGAGTCCATGCTGTTAACCACTAACAAGGATCAAACTCTCTGGGAAAGGTTTAGGTGGTAGGTTGGTGGAGGAAAAGATCTCTACTTGAGATGGGGGAGCAGTTTCTTGTCAAGAGATAATTATGACCAGAGTTCCCAAAACTTGGGGAGAGGCACCAACAACTATGCTGCAAATATGGTGCCTCTATCTCAAAAAACAGCCCCCCCCCAAGAGCCCCTGATATCCCTGGATCAATCCTTCATTATAGCTTATGAGGACCATTTTTTGTACAGCCCTATTATGCTTTTCAGTATGATTTGTAAGCTGCCTTGAGTCACAGAGAAAAGTGGGATATAAATGTTTGAATAAATAAGTAATTCGTCAGGTTGGTAACATGTAAGCAACTTCCTGCTTGTTATGTTAGGCAGGGTTCTGACTGTGATTGTTGCACTTCTGTTATACTTGACCTGTAATGCTGGTTGTCATATTTCACGGGGGGGGGGGGGTGCATTGACAGGACCCCCCCCCCCCCCCCCCCCCAGTGCTGGTATGCTTTCTAAGGCCCAGCACAGGGTGATGATCCGAGGCCAGACATACACATGTAGGCCTTTTGCATACATTTAAATGACCAAGACCAAGCCATTTCCATTCTGACTTGGCAATACTGAATTAGAAAGACCAGTAGTCCAAAACTACCGAAGGCAGTCTGACGTGGCGATATGGAATATTTGTGAAAGGTGGTAAGAGCAGTTATTTTACACACTTTTGGCACTAATGCAGGTTTGGGGTTACTCACTTGGAAGCCAACAGTTTCCGCTTCTCCTCCAGAGACATCTCACTTTCAGTTTCCTCTTGCTCTTCTGAAGTGGAGTCCGCCTGTGACTCCCTCCTCCTGGCCTTCCTCTTACGCCTTCTTTTCTTACGCAGGGTTGTGTCAGACCAGGAGGCATCAGCGTTTCCATACAAGCTGGAAGCCTCCCTAGAAGACCTGGTTGCCGGATCCGAGTTTTTCTCCGAAGGGATGGGAGATGTGCACAAGGAGATGGGGATGCTCTCCTGGAACACAAGAACAAATTTTGCCAAACATCTGATCCAAATTTAGAGTTAGCTTAAACTAGAAACCAAGCAAATCTATTCCGACACTTTGGCATCGAGGGAAGCCAAATTCCATGAATTAAATGCTAACAGAATTACACACATTAGACGCTAATTTTTTGCATTTGGCATCATATGGGAGCATAGTCCAAGAAATGGGTCACTTCAGGACTAGCCCTTGATGTTTACCGAAATCAGCTAATACACTTAGCTTGCTAAAGCACAACAGAGAAATATTTTTCCCCTGAAGAACTTACATTTCAAATAAACAGAGCTCTGGATAACCAACTCATCATTTCTTGATGAAAGTTTATGGCCAATGTTGTGTGCTACTCCATTTACTAGTAATCTGCTTTATGGCAACAATTACTACAGCTTTGCAGCACTGATGCCAGAGGGAAGCCAAAAAGGCCCAAGCCAGACCACAGCAGGGCCAGAAACCAAGCAGTTCCCAGGCTTTATCAACCTGACGATCACCACTCTGACTAAAAATGCTAAAAGACCACTACCCTGACCCCTCCCTACCTCTCTTGCAGGCTTGTGCCATTAACTGGACAGTCCCTTTTCAAAGTACCCATGGCAAACCATGAACACTCTTTGAAAGTTTCTGTCCTCAACACAATACAGTGAATCTCTTATCAGCAATATTTTGAAAGCAAGCTTTAAAAAATTATTTATACTGTCTACTAGGACCAGGTCTCAGAGGGTAGCCAATACTACAGGGCCACAACTCAGAACACCCTGACCGAAGTTGCTAACCAATGTTGCCTCTTGACTGGAAGGGACTTTGTGCTAGAGACATCAAGAAGGTTCCTTACTGATTAATAACTTCTAGCCAAAGGCCATCTAAACAAAGGTATAAAGGGGCTTGGAAAAGCTTTCAGAGCTACTCACAGAAACAGAACAAAAAATCTGAACTTGTGTTATTTAACTGAAAACTGCCACTGGTTATTGTTGTCTGTGCATGCAGAGTGGCTTCTCTTTACTCCTATGATGAAATCCTTTGAACTGGAAAACAGAGTGAAAAATCAATTTGGCGTCATACTGGAAGTGACCGATGACTTCATTAGGACTTTGTCTCCCTGGTGCCACTCAACACTTCGTGTTCTTAAGGTTGAGCTATCAGTTCCCAGAAACTAATCAGCAAATTATCTGCCTAGTGTGCTGAGTGGATCTAGTTTGGTGTAGTGGTTAAGTGTGTGGACTCTAACCTGGGAGGACCAGGTTTGATGCCCCACTCCTCCACTTGCAGCTGCTGGATGATCTTGGGCAAGCCACAGTTCTGTCAGAGCTGTCCTTGAAAGGGCAATTCTTGAAAGAGCTCTCTCAGCCCTACCTACCTCACACATTCAGAGACTCCAAGTGAAGGGCGGGGTATAAATCCAATCTCTTCTTCTTCTTCAAAAAGGTTATAGATAACCTGGTTCAAGGACTTAAGGGAAGTTTATGAAGAACTATGCTTTTGTACCTCACAGTCAGACCACGAAACAAAACCCACCTTTTGTTCCTCTGACTTTTCAACAAAGAAAGCTTCTCCATTATCACCCAGCTTCATATGCAGGTCAACTGGCTCCCCGTTGATTTCTATGTCAACCTAGAGTGAGGTTAATTTTAAGCCACACCACCAATAGAAAAGTTAGCACAAAGAGCAGGCTGTATTCACACCAATTTATAACATGTGACTTGACCATTAAAAAAGGTAAAGGTTTCCCTTGCTTGAAAGCTAGTCGAATCTGACTCTAGGGGACAGTGCTCATCTCTGTTTCCAAGTTGAAGAGCCAGCATTGTCTGAAGATGTTTCCGTGGTCATGTGGCCAGCATGACTAAATGCCGAGGCGCATGGAAGGCTGTTACCTTCCCACCGAAGTGGTACCTATTTATCTACTTGCAATTTCTTGCTTTCAAACTGCTAGGTTGGCAGGAGCTGGGGCCAGAGATGGGAGCTCACTCCGTCACGCGGCACTAGGGTCTCAAACTGCCAAACTACAGACCTTCCAGTCTGCAGCTCAGCATCTTAACCTCTGAGCCACCACGGTGCCGACTTTATCATTACCAACCACTTTTATACAAATCAGAGTACGCATTTATATTACAGAGTAGGGTGTCACCATCTTAGATTTGGATTAAGGTTTGATATCAAATCCCTGGTCATCACTTGAAGGCCATGTGCCCATCGATACAATTTTTTTAACATTCCTATACATAGACCTTGGGCACATCAATTTGGGTGCTATGGGCCTGTTCACTAACTGAACATCTTCTTGTACTGGTGGAAAGTTCATCCCTTAGTGGAATGGAATTGTATGGAATCTACTCAGTAAATGTGTGCATTCGGCTCTATTGGAGTAAAAAAAATAGCTGGAAAATACCTTATCGGTATTTATCAGCTATTCTTTCAGCTGCACTGGGGGGGGGGGGGGTGTATTTTCAGTTTTTTTATTGAGCATAGAGAATCCTGAATAATCCTGAAAAAATTCAGGATTATCCGGGAAAACAGAATAGCCACAGCTAAATGGTGCTTAAAGAGAGTGCACTCCCTTTAAACGCCATTCCACATGAAGCTGCAACTTCATGAATGCATTTAAAGGGACTGCAACACCTTTAAATGCCCTCAGCTCCATTATAGCCTATGGGGACTATTATATTCAATTATCCCCATAGGCTCTAATGGTCCCATAGGGTATAATAGAGCCGGGGGGGGGGGGGGGTGGGTTTTTTAAAAGCGGGTAAAAACCTGAATCCGAATACCATACTGATATTGGAATTTGAGGGTTTTTTGGGAATCACAATTTTTTTGGGGGGGTCCAATAGATCAGAATACAAAAAATCCTGATTTTTTTTTGTGTGTGTGCACACCCCTACTGCTCAGTGTTTCCAAGGGCGCAAATAACCTCCATTTTACCACGATAACAAGATGGTGTGGATGGCCATTCAACATGTGCTTAGTAGCCTGTAGCCTGCATCCTGCCACACAAAGTTATTAGGGTTGCCAAACTCCAGGTGCAATTACATCTGTTCTCCACATTAGAGATCAGTTTTCCCTAAAGAAAATGGCAGCTTCAGAGGTCGTATCACATGAGGAGGTAGCTGAACTCCTTCCCCTCCTGCAAGCACTGCCCCCAGATCTTCAGGAATTTCCCAAGCCAGAGTTAAGCAACCCTAGTTGTGATTAAGTAGCAAAAGGCCACAGAAATTAATGGAACTTCCAAATTAATTTGTTTAGGTGGTAGAAGAGTCATTTGCTAGTTACATACAGGGTAACAAGAGACTACTGCACATACCCACCCAAAGCACAGGATGGCTTATATCGGAGATCACTCACCACTTTCTCAGTTGAACGCAGGACACGGAGCTTCCCAAAGCGTACATGAAAAGGTGAACACAATAAAGAGCCATCTGGTTGCCTCACCACAATGACATCAATGCAGCCTGTCAGGGTGGCCGGATTCAGGCCCTTGTATAGCTCCTTCACAGTGCCAAGAACGGTCTCAGCAAGCTGGCCTACGTAGTTCATTGTCTGATTCTAAAAGAAAAATGGAAAAAAGAAACAGCCTCAAGTTAAAAGAAGCTTCCAGAAGTTCATGTTAGGGACTTGAAAATAATTGGTTACCTTGTACCTCCAAGAAGCAGATGGCACTGTATTATTTTCTGACTATTTAGTTCAACACTCTGTATACTATGCTACTATGTGGTGCCGCTCAGACACAAATCTGAACACCAAGCCTGTCTGGAGAATGTTCCAAGAATTTATGTGCTTTGATATGGCTGGTTGACATTTCGTGGTGGTTTATAACTTTTAAGCAAATATTAATTTAGGAGAGAGTGTGGTGGACCGTTATCCAGCTTTAATATAACCAGGTTGATCAAGGATATCTACTACAGGTGAACCATGGTGGGAATTAACATACAAGGAGGTTACTGTTTCACAGAATCATAGAATCACAGAGTTGGAAGGGACCACACAGGCTATCTAGTCCAACCTCCTGCTCAGTGCAGGATAAGCCTAGAGCATCCCTGACAAGTGTTTGTCCAGGTCATACCCAAATTCAGACTTCAATATGTTCTGCAGCTCAATGACCAGAGATGGAGCACAACAGGGAAAGGCAGAAGGCCAGGTTTGCAGAATTAATCCTCTGCATCAGCAAGTTATCATCCTATATTCCAGGGACAGGGGCCAATGCATCAAACCCTCTAAAGGGTTCAGTCCCCAATCACACACTGCCCATCATAGTTCACTAGATGAGCTCACAAGCCTTAGATGCTCTGTTAGAGAAATCCCCAATATGGCCATTCACCAACACGTTTCCTAGAGCCACCCTCTTCCCCAAAGCAAAAAAACCCCAGTCCTTGCTTCCTTCTATATCTTCGGGCTCCCTTAGACAGAAATCAGGAGGCATCACATTTTTGTCTGCAGAGAGCACTCACAGAAACAGTTGCCTCTATTACAGGAATCTTGTTGTGAATCTCCCAACATTTTGTAGAAACTTCCAACATTTTGCATTAGACCCAGTCCCCATGGCAGTCATTTTGTCATGGTACCTACTATTCATTCTCAAAATTCCAACAGTGCCTATAGGTTCAACGAAGTTGGAGATTTCTGCCTTAGACTATGAAGCTCCTGACTGAAGTGCTATAGTCCCTGATACAGTGTTGACGATTTCTTTTTAGAACTATGTCGTGTAGAAATTAAAACTCTACCAGTGGGGATCCACAATACTCAACTGGGGATCCTATCCCCCCACATCACCTCCTCTGCCAGTGAGCCTGGCAGGGTTCCAGTTCCCCTAGTACCTTCAGCACCACCAGCCAGTTGGGTGAGGTTCCCAGTCCCCCATTGCCAATACTGGATCTGCCACAACTCTCCCCCCTCCATTACCTCTGGCATTGGTAAGTCTAATTCTCCATCGCCACTGAAACCGGATTCACTAACTCTTGCCTTCGCATCATCACCTCCAGCTCCAACAAGCCTACCACGGCTCCTGGCCTCACTGCCAGGCCTGCTGCAGCTCCTGCCCCACACACCATTGCCTTCACCACCCATGATCCCACAACAGCTCCCAGCCTCAGCTGTTGGGTTTGCCATGGCTGCCAGGCATAGCACAGCTTCCTGCCTTCCCACTGACACCAGAGAAGGTAGGTTTGTTACCTATGCATGTGCAGGCAACAAATTTGTGTGTGGGGGGGTTTAAACCCCAATGTACTTCCAAATGTTTTCAAAGCCCCCCCCCCCCCCCCCCCCGGCTATCTGTTTTCAGCCAGTGTGGGCCCAATCCACAGATCCACATATTTGCAGATTGGACCATGCTTGGCCATTAGAATATAAGATACAGATAACCATTTAGCAAGTAATACAGATTAGACCACGCTTGACCATTAGAATATAAGATACAGATAACCATTTAGCAAGTGATAATTTATCATGACATCCATAAGCCATCCTCGTGGAGAAACTGTATGTACCCTATTTGACCACTCAGTTGGAATAATTTTATCACTCTTATTTCTACACATTTCCTGTTGCCTATAGATGTTGCTATTGTCGGAATCCAATCAGCTCTCCATGATGATGAGTGCAGCACCATGTAATTATATGCCTAGTGTAGAAAGCTGACAGATTGTGAGTTGTGTTCCCCTAGTGTTATGGACCTGGCCTTCTGTAGGCAAGAACAAAACAAGACAGGTGTCAGGTTTCTAAACCTCCTGACTGCTTAGCTCATTCTGTTGAGGGCAGGATGAATGATGTTAAGTGTCTGAATGGGCTTTTTGTCACTGCATATGACTATCGGGTGATATGAATGGCTCCATCATATAGAGTATATTATATTATAGACAAATCAATTTTTCCCCCCTGTACGTGGAAGGTTGTACTAACCACATAGAGTCAAATTGTGTGTGACTATCACAGACAAGCCAAAATAGGGGGACAATTTCCAAAGTATCTTTAAAAGGACTTTAATCCAGGGACATCATTACACATCTCAATTAAAGGAGAGGTAGACAGATTTTAGGTATTGGGGGTAGGGAGATTCTAAGTAAATGTATAGGTTCACTCTCAGATACATTCAAGATTAAACTGGGGGGGGGGGAGAAAACCAAACATCATGATTTTGCAAGTCTTTATCATGATTCGCTCTATAATCACACAGTAATTATAGCACAGCTCATAAGTCACTTTTTAAGCAGAAGGATTCTCCAAAATCTTTTAGTATTGCATGTACATTGGTTAGTTTATAGTAAGTCACCGAGGACAACCTCAAAGCTGTAGTGGTTGCAACATGAATTCAGGACTGGGGAGGGGCATTTGCAGGAGAAATGATCGATGAGCTTGAAGAAGGGATGTGTAATCCCTGCATAGTCCCCCCTGCATCGGACCCCCCAACTATCCTCCTGTCTCCAGCAGGCTCTTTGATTGCTGAGCATAGGGGAGAAGAAGAGAATGTAAAGGTGGGGGGGGGGATTTGCAGGGGAGAAAAGATAAGCAAGGAAAGGGTTAAACACCCCATCCATTTCTATCTTGCCTGTGCTTGCTACCCCCCCCCCCCCCCCCCCCTGAAACTCAGGATTCAGAATCCCATTTCTCTCCTATATTGTCTAGAATAATCCTAACAATTAGTTAGCCTGAAATACAGGTGTTCCTGCATGGGAGGAGCAGAGAGCTGGGACTGTACATGTACCTATTATCCCCTATAGGGTGGAGGGAAACACACCTGGATGAGAACAAAGTGAAGTTTCACAGTGTAGGAGTGGTAGAAGACAGACTTATCCACGCCGGGTCACATGCCTGTGCCAGGAGAAGCACCACAGGTTTTCCTCCCTCCTTGATCCAATCTCCCTGCTCTAACCAGGAAGCTCTCAAAGGACAGCACAGAAATGAATGTCAGCTGTGCTTCTATGCCAAAGCATGCCTGAAACTACAACCAGGAATGGCCGACATACAAACAAATCTGCCCTCCCATTCATCGTTGACGTCTTCTGAACCGCTTGCTCTGTGAGGTACAGAATTGCGGTCTTGTTTTTGAGACCAGAGGACCGAGGCATAGTCTGTGTTAATCCATGCAAGCCATCACAGTTTGCTCTTCTTTTCACCAGGGCAAAGATTTGGAATGCTCTAACCAAGCCGCTGGAAGTTATGATAGACATAAGAGTCTTCCTAATAGTGATGCACTGATTGCAGAGTCATGGCTGTCTGATTAAGGCATGATGCACTCTTAATAGGTTGCTACAAATTTATCTGCCATACCGTAGATAATGACTTAAATGGTCATTATTACTGCCCATTGCAAAATGGTTAGACAGGTGAGAATGGTTTTGATCCTGCAGCTATTTGGGAGCAAGTGGAAGATTTGCAGGATGGGGAGCATCGCTTCCTTTAAGGGCCAGTATGGACAAAACGACACACCAGCAACTCTGCTCAGCGAATAGCTCAGTGGCAGAGTACCAACTCTCTGAGCACAGAAGGTCCCAGGCTCAATCTCTGACATCTTCAGCTAAAATGATCTGACCGGAGGCAGAGACCTTGCCGGAGAGCTGCTGCCCATCAAGAAAACAATACAGGTTCTGGTAGACCAATGGTCTGAAATGTATAGCAGATTCATGCATAATCCCCTAGTCATCAGAAACAAACGGCTCTTTTCTTACCTTTAAGGTAGTTATAGAAATATTTAGTCCACAACCCATAATGAAACACAACTCTCACACAACACGGCATCCCAAACTGCAATTGTCACGATGGTTTGTGCTCTCGGAAAACTATTTCCTTACAACACATATGCTATGTAGGGACATGTGATAGTTTGCCCTACAACAATTTGCATATATGTATGTGTGTGTGTCTGTGTGTGTGTCTGTGTGTATATATATATATATATACACACACACACATATATATATAGGCTGCGGTGGCTCAGAGGTTAAGACGCTGAGCTGCAGACCAGAAGGTCAGTAGCTCGGCAGTTCGAGACCCAAGTGCCGCATGACGGAGTGAGCTCCCGTCTCTGGCCCCAGCTCCTGCCAATCTAGCAGTTCGAAAGCAAGAAATTGCAAGTAGATAAATAGGCACCGCTTCGGTGGGAAAGTAACAGCTTTCCGTGTGCCTCGGTGTTTAGTCATGCCGGCCACATGACCACGGAGAAGTCTTCGGACAGTGCTGGCTCTTCGGCTTGGAAACGGAGATGAGCACTGCCCCCTAGAGTCAGATTCAACTGGCTTTGAAGCAAGGGAAACCTTTAACTTTAAATATATACACACACACAGAGATGCACAGCCTTGTCACCCTTTGGAAATGTTTACAGACAGGTCAAGAACATTTCATCCACACACAGCAGAGAAAGCTACTTCTTACCCAGCAAGAGCGGGGCAATTCCATTTTGGCTCCCTCCCTAGAAAGAAACCCACCTCTCCAGGGCAGAGCGAGAGAGCGCATCTTGCTCCCAAGCAGCCCACAAGTCATTCTGAAACCTACACGGAGTCCAATTATCCCCGAGGGAGGGGGACCACACAGTCCTGCTTCCCGTA